ACACACACACACAACAACACACACACACACACACACACACACACACACACACACACACACAGAGACCAAAAACAATACCTCTATTTTTCATCATAGAGGTACATGTACATATAATAACGTGTGTTGCAAAGTGGTTCTGCGCCAGTTCCACTGATGTCGAGTCCGTACGTGTGAATGACCTGTGTGGTTAGGATGGCGTGAAGGTTAGCGGCATGATGAATGTATCCGCCGTACGTGATGCACGTTCACAGGCCTCATTAGCGTCACAGCGATCGTGAAACCGATAGTAATTCCGCCCCTGAGGGACCGAAATCATGGGGGGGGGGGCGAAATCGCCGGTACACCGGCTCAATCAGGCAAAGTGTTAAAATCCCCAGCTGACTTTGTGCTACAGGTGTTTTGGCGTATTACCTCCGGATACGGAAGTATTGTTTTTGGGTGGCCGATATTTAGGTCTGTATCTCTTTGTCCTGTCCGGACAGAGTAGGGTGCACGTGATAGCACCACTGATCCACAGCATACCTCGCAATATATGATGGCCCCCTCCGAAAGCAATTGTAGATTTCAGACACCAATTACAGGCAATGGCCTTTGTTTTGCATATCCATTTGCATATTTGTGACTGGAGAATGCGGCATTGACCACGTGGAGGGAGGTTAAGGCAGGAAAACATTAGTTGTATGATTGTTTGGTCGTAAAATATTCAGATCAACGACAGGACCTACGAGCCGTCACAAGACATCTTCACAATATGTCACACTTTCACGACTGTCCCAAAAACCTGAGACATAAGCCCATCGCAAGAATGTTACCAGTCCCTTGGCTGCTTTGCATAGATTCTAAAATCCCTGTTCTCTTGTTTGTGTTACACTTTGGCCATGTGGGAACCGCATGTTTGTCTAATTACCTCTGGCCCCCTACAGTCACGCTTACTGCGAAAACGGACGTGACCACGCATGGACCCAGGCCATGGTAAACAGTGTGCATGTTTTTCAAATAACAGTTTAACGTTATACACATATCTACAAGTAGTCGGTTGACTCCTAGCCTGGGTTCCAGACTGTTTCCAGGGCCAACGTGCACACACATTATACCACAGCCCTCGTCAGTTACTCTGGGTCTATCGTGCACGTTATGGGTCTGGCGTCCAGGCTAGTTGACTCCTCTTACCCGGCTTAGCCTTGTAGTCGCGGAAGACCATCAGTCTCTGTACGGTGTTGGGAGTGTAGCCTGCCCGCCCGGGACCTTTGGCGCACGCCGGGGGTTTTAACGGTGTCGGTTTCAATTACTTACTTAAATCATATTTGTGTTTACAAATTCATTACTTGATCCATGACCAAAGAAATGTCCTATAAAGGGCAAAATCCTGTCACTCGTTTTTCGATTTCTATGTTCGCACTTTTGATGATAATCCGTCCAAGCGTCCTCTAGCGAGATGTTTGTGAAATGTAGTATTGGCAGATGGATAATGCGTATTTGTGCGGCCTAGGTGGATTGTGATGATGTTTAGTATGTCCTGCAATTGGGAACACGAAGGGCAATACTAATTATCGGCTTCCTGGCGGCATTACTTGGTATTGCAACAGAACTGCCAGTTATGGTTTCTTTCATCCTGGCGCCTACATGTATTGATGTGTCTATAGACGATATTTTAGAGTTACGTGTATGTGGGAAGTTAGGTCAGGATAACATAGAAAGTCCGACAAAATATCCAAAACAGACCTAACCCCTGCTTGTAGAGTAGCTGTCCCTAGGGAGGGCGAATGACGATTTACTTTTACCCCAGCCCATAATCTTTTCAAGTGGACTAACTGCACAACTTCAACGGTCCGACGTGTCAGTAAAGCCCACCCACATATCTGTCTGTATGTATGTCTGTCTACATGTAGTTAAAGACCTTACGAAAGTCGCTGTACTTTTGTTGTGTCAATAAAGTTCAACATCATAACCGAACAAGGCCACTTGAACCGTCTATCATTATGGTTTGGAATAGGTCGGGAGCAAGGTCGGTTATGGTTGGGCTCTGTACTGTTGGGTACTGCGCCAGCCGAATGTTTCAAAAATGATACAAACGTTTAAAATATTCGGGTATGGACGGGAGGTTTGGCCATTGTTGGCTGGATCTAGGGTACAGGTTGGCAATGTTCGCGACGTGGTCAAATTTGACTCAAATTTAACTTAAATTTGATTCGAGTCTTAGGCGTGGCCTAGATCTGGTCGGACTGCTCCCGAACTTCAGCCAACCTTTATTGGTTGTTGGTCGGGGGTGGGAGAAGGTTCTGAATGTGTGACAGGGGCTTTAATACATCCTCTTGAAACAGGTGGTGCACATCACACACCTCACGTGGACAGTACACCGCCTTAAATCTCCCTCTCTCCGGATTAAGCGTGTCCTCTTACATCACCATGGCAACGGGGAGAATCAAAACGGTCGGGTAGGAAGAAAGGAGGTGACGACGTTTTTACAAACCGTCTCGCCATAGTGAAGTAGAGATCTGGGTTTTACGCCATAGTCTTCATCATGGGAGAAGTTTTGTGATTTTTCCCCCGATATTTTGACTTGACATTCCTACTTACGCTCATAATGGTGAGTTTATCTTACGTTTTGTGGCGTTTATGTAAGATATGAGGATAAGGACCTTTAAGGCGGCGTTAAGTAACGTGTGTGCGTAGGAACAACTTAACAAAATTCCGATATCGCGATGCGAATAGTTAATTAACTACCGTTAAGTTTTATGCAGTTTGAGCATTTTAACTTTCGTAGGCATTTTAGAACATCCTTGAGAATTGTGCAGTATATATTGGCTTTTATCTTGTCGATATGTAGTTAGAACTTGAACAAAGTCTGTGTAGTGTTCCGTGCAGTATTAGCGGCGATTTTACCTACATTTTGAGACTTTTGCAGTTTTCCCTTTGTACGCGTGTCACATGCCTAACCTGCTTCTTTTGCAAACGGTGAAAAGGGATTAAATCTAAAACTCGCTTATTGCTGGTCCGGCACTTGTCAACACTTGACAACACAATCGGAAATTTATCTGTTTTCTAAAACGCCAGATAAACATTAACGGAAATCCCTACAAATTTTAGGGTCCGGGTCCGTTTTACATATATCATGTATATAACACTGTTTTGTATTATTATGTATTTGTATGATCCTGTCTATTTATTTTATTTGTCGGCATGGTGGCCTTGAAAAGGTGTACTTAGGTCCACCTGTTCCACCATGCCTCCATGTACATGTTTGTGGAGAATTATGTATTGATAAATAAATAAATAAATACATCTTACGATCGTCGCATAACTGCAAACCGAATTAATTTTCGGGATAGTGACATATGTGTTCTGATTGTCTGGCAAAATCCAGTCTTGTTAAGGAAAAATCTGTCTTGTCGGTGGTCGGTTCTGTCACAGCCCGCCTGAAAAGACTACGGCATCAAAATCGTACGGCTGTGTCCGCGCCGTCTTTGTTTATCACTACCGTAAAAAGTTCATCATTTGAGCTGTATTGTGACAACCCATATTACAAGTAGAAAAAATATTAACATTTTTTTCAAAAACACTCTAGTTATCAATACAACCGAACGTCATATTTATTGACATAACTCTGGCGTCATACCGACGAAAGCAAATAGCTCAAACATCACACTTAAGTTTTGATCACTATGATAAGCCTCTGGCGCTTGTCTCTCTTAAGAGGACGACTTTAAAACACGACATCTGATATTTTTGTTTTAAAAAAAGTTATGTAAGTTTCTCAGTTTAGTTTGTTGGATGTGTCATTTTGTCTTCAGGTTGCCACTTACACAGTTTATACTTACAGTACAAAACTAGTTTGTTACGACTAAATGTATGAGAAACAAATGTTTGGTTCTCTAATTGTTTGTTTGTTTGTTTGTTTGTTTTCCCTCTGCAGTATGGATTTATCAACCTGTGTCTGAAGTCTCTGGTTGTGGAGAAGTTCGGAGAAGAAGCCTGGGAAAATATCAGGTGAGCATGCGCAGTTGTCATACGATCGTGAATTGAGGGCATTATTGGGATAGCCTTGCATGTCAGGGCCCGAAATTCATTTTTGGGAATACGTGCGCGGCACATGCACCCAGTATTTCCAGCCCTGATGTCCTGCACAATTCAACTACATGTACTAGTATCTTGTTACAAAGAAGGTTGTCTTAGACAATTGTCGGGAGTTGGTTCTGTCACAATCTGCTTGAAAATTCTCAAATTCGTACTACGGCAAATGTGACCGAAACCACGAGAGAATCGATCTTTATACTGCCACCAATCAGCGTTTTCGTATCATCCTTCAGTGTCAGAAACTGTATCCATCTTGAAAAAACGTCACCCAAAACAACGGCAATATCAGAGCTACTGTATAGTCAAGTTACAAATTACAGATATTTTTTCTTTAAGTCCAACTTGCTTGTTGATTTTGGTGGCTATGTCGATGTTTTCAGTAGGCACGTTCCCCGTGGTATGTTGGTACTTGTTATTTAAACATGTGTCAACAACGTTAACGGAGACAAGGCTAGAAGTACGCAGTGTAACGTTATTCTTTCTAATCCCTTCTTAAGTGTCCCTGGCGATGGTTCCGCCCCAAGACGCTGAATAGAAGGATTATAAGTACTTAAGAAAGATTAGATTCTTGTCTCACCTTACACCTGAGAAAGATCTACAACGTCTTCGTAGTGACTTTGTGTTCTAACAGTCTTTTGCAAGGAATGAGTAAATTCATTGGATATTTTGTGTATTGTAAGAGCAAAATTCTGACAACTTCAAATTATTACGTTTAATGCAGTTCATTTTGTGTACTGGTGCACACGGGAATGTTAACATTCGGTCGATTGTCCCTTTCTTTTATGGCACGGGCGCCGTAGGCTGCCGTACGATTTGATGTCATATAATTTTCAAGCAAGATGTGACAGAACCAAATGACGAAAGGAATCCATAAGACAGTCTTTTCCGTAACAACACAGCTACATTTTGCAGGACACATGCTAGTTAGGCCGCTAAACAGTTTTGTCGTTCGCTCTGTACTCCTTTAGAGGACTAATTCCCCTGCCATTTTGTCTTCCTATTTGGCCAATTTTTACTCTTTCCAGACGCCTCTGAAGCCTGGTGGAGGCTACAAAAAGGCTGGAAATGCATATTTAAAGATATAAACATTTGATGTCCATGTGGCCTTCACCCGTTTAAGGAGAGACGTACATTGTTGGTGTGGCCAGGACTGTTTTCATTGGTTAATTGTTGGGGCCATCTAAGCCCAAAATGGCGTAAAAGACAGGGCCATTGACCGGACAACAGTTGTTGTAGCTTTGCGGCGTGCCGGTTGGCAGTGGACGGCATTCAGGAGTACAGGTTATCACAAGCTGTTGATTTAAGTAGTGGTGAGTTTGTTAAAAAGAAGTAGGTCAGTGGGCGATAGTATAGAAGATCTGGGCGAAGAAGCTTTTTTGCAAAGAACAGTTGAAACTGATTAACATTTTTACTGAATACTTAATTTTTGAGGCTTAATTAAAGGTATTCAAATTGAAGGAAAGCTACAATTGCGCAACGTTCAAACTACAATTTCTTTGAGTGATCTTTCTACGTCCAAGTGTCAGAAAAATATCGTTCCAGTATTCTTGGCCGCTCGCAAACTATGCAACGATCCTACAGCTACTCTCTGATTGGTCGAACATCTAATTGCCACGCTACCATTGGTTGAAGTGCTAATTGTGATCGACAGTCAGGATCGGTCTATTGTCTCAAGTTCTTACATGAACAGACCTTGTCACCTCGGCTTCCCAAATATCCCTTGAAGACACGGTTTCTGAAGCTGAACATGCCCGTGAGGTGACCAGGAAGCATTAGGAGGCCATTTAGGGGGTTCCGTAATCTGTGGATTCAAACACAGGTCACTAAAAACATACTACAGAAAAACAAACTCATTTTTTCAGTGTCACCTTTGTTGACCGAAGTTATCCCTCGCCATATACCCTTTCCTTTCATTGAAAAACGTCACCGGTATTCTTGGTAGTGTGTCTTTGTGTATATATTGGGTTACTGTTTGTTGAAACGATAAAAGAAGACGGTGTAACCATGTACTGCCCTTGATCTTTTGTTAGTTTTACTCCCCCAACATCTTTCTGTAAATCCGTCCGGTCTGAGTCATAACACAGTCTGGCTAGTAAACCAACACCTAGGGGACACGTGAAAGGTGAACAACCTCAAAATAAAGCCAATGAAATATAGAATAACAAAACTCTTTATTCATAACCACTTGTTTAGCCTACTACCTGGAATGATCTGATCTAAAGTTGTAAGAGTACAATAATCATCTTCAATTAAAATACGTTCATGGACCTCATACTAAGTTGTCTCTTACATTAATTGCTTACTGTTAATTGCCGTCGTATGTGTTATTTTCCTGTGTGTCATGTAGTGTCGTTGTATTGACGTATGACCACAGGAAGAATTACAACTATGTGTGCTAAATGTGGATCCAAATAAACTCAAAGACCGTCTGTCATCATCATCAAGGCAATTATGACTGGTTGGTTTACTGTGCACTGAAGCTAGGTGTTACTGCTACTAATGCGGTCCCCAACGTAGAGTAATTTGATTGATCGATTGATTAATTTTACTTTTTGATTGATTGAAATGGTTGATTGATTGATTGGTTGGTTGGTTGATTGATTTTCTTTTTCTTCCCTTTCTGATTGATTGATTGATTGATTGATTGATTTTGTGTCCCAGGCACCAGGCTGATGTGGAAGACAGCTTCATGACGTACACATATTATGATGACGTACACACCATGACGCTTATAGACGTCGCCTGTCAGAGCCTCGGTAAGTCACGTGACTAACTTGTTTACCAATAAAGCCTGGGTTTGATTTTTATAGTCTTCATTTCTCTGTTTTCCTTATTCCAGAAATACTCTTCATTTCAAAGCTAATACAAGAAATTGGACATTTCACACTTTGGGATTCTTGTGACCTTCAAGTTAACCCCATTTTCTGTGCCTGACTTTTTGGCTTTCAGTCGGCTAGTCATTCTGCCTGCCAATCTTCTTTACCCACGTTCTGTCAACATAGTTTCAGGTGCACACCATTTTTAGTGTCTGACCTATGACTTCCAGCCATTCCTCCTGTCAATCTTGCCCGTTCACGTGCTGTCCACCTGCTCTGTCAAACACACACACACACACACACACACACACACACACCCTACAACTCAGCCACCCAAAACATTACTTCCATGTATCTGAGGTTAGAAATTCAAGCGACAGATCATCATATTCTATTTCATAGCCACTGCAAGAAACAAGATCCAGTTGATAACAAAACACCAGTGCCTTGTGAGCCTGTTTGAGTTCCGGATTACACAGTGGTGTCGTCAGTGTGTTTTCCGGAGTCAGTGGCTCGGTAAATGAAGTGTGTGTGGTAACTAGATCACAAAGCCGACATGTTTGTATGGATACTGTCAATTAGCGACAGAGTAGGCGAAAAACAAGCACTGTTCGTTAATGGTGCGGCCACATCCGTCGTAGGACGTAGCAAAGCTTTAAAAGCAGTGTGATGTTTGAGTTCTTTGTTACGTTGTTTTGAAGCGAGTGTTATGTCACCAAACGTTTAGTGTTCAGCTGTCGTAATAAGTACAGTTTTTGGAATAAGAAAAACTTGTTTTCCTACATTCACATCTATATGTCCTACAACAGAAAAACGCGAAGGAGGTCTTTTTTTGCTATGATAAACTGTGTGTGTTACGCTATGGTCACCGTCATAATTTTGATATCGTAGAATGTTGAAGAAGGCTAGGACAGAACCAACCGCTGACAAAGACATAATACAGTCTTTTCAGTAACAATACAGCTGAATTTTGCAGAACGACTATCCCGAAAATTATCTCAGTTTGTGATCGTACGGTGATCGTAAGACGAATGTGGCTTTGTGAGTCTGTCTTAGCTTTGATAATCTTTCTCGTTATCTTTCCCAGCTGTTGAGAAGAGCACGGTCCTGATGCTTTTCGGCGAGTTCTTCTTCGAGTTCTGCGTGCGCTCGGGGTACGACCACATGTTACGGACACTCGGCGGGAACCTGGTGGAGTTTATAGAGAATCTGGACTCCCTGCACTCCTACCTGACTCTGGCGTACGACAAGATGAACGCGCCGTCCTTCAGGTTGGAGAAAGTGGACAGCAACATGTTCCTGCACTACTACTCTGATAGGAAAGGACTGGCGCCCATGGTCATAGGTACGTGAGAGAGAGGGAGGGAAAGAGAGGGATGGATGGATGGATAGACGGATCCTTAAAATAGAGAAGGTCTAGATCAACGAACTACTAGTACTGCTCTGTATTCTTACTCAAACACATGCATACATATAATGACAAGCCCCTCCAACTCTGTCCCAGAACTTGCTACATAATGTAATCTAATACCAGAGAGAGGGGGAGGGAAAGACGAATGGATGGATGGATGGAACGATAGATAGATAGATAGCTTTTACCTTAAATTGGAGATGGTCTAGCTCAACTAAGTACTTCTGTTTATTCTTGCTCAAACACATACATACACATAATGACCAGCCCCTCTAACTCTGTCCTACGACTTGCTACAGTATAGCACTATTTACCTTGGTGACGGCCTTCTGGTTCAGGTCACTGACCTTTACTGTTTGGAAAAGTAGAAGAAACAGAGTAAAAACAGTATGTTTTCCTCCTGCGAAGGTTAACATAATTGCTTAAACTTGCATAACAGCTAGCGATGACAAAGACTTGCATAAACAAAATGTTTGGTATCCACAGTGAGAGAGAAAGTTTAGGATGTGACTGGATTACTTATGTAATGATTCATTTTATCAATACCTCACGTTGCCATAGTGATGTTAGTTTATACACACCGCACTTAAGGTTTAAAATCCGGGTCAAAAGCGGCTTAAACTACTAGATCTTTATCATTCCATAAAACTAGAAAATGGCGCTACATTTGACCACTAATAGTAATGAACCCGTAAAAACATAACATTGTACTATGAAAAGAGGCGAGGAAAATTTGCTACGACTTCTGACGTTTGCTTCAAGTCCACGGCTCAGTCAACATTCCATTATTCGATCGTTTTCAGAGCCTCCTCTTCAATCCCCTCTCTTAAACATACTCCAACCCACTCCAACCACTCTCCAAGTAAACAAATAGGGTCAACTCCGATGGTTTGGATCAATAGCGCCCACGTAACTGAAGAAAACTGTCCGCCGAACGTCCGGTAAATTTCTACCCCCTGGTGACCGCTACGTAAACAGTTATGAAGACTTGGACATGCTGATTGGAAAATTACCTGATGAAAATGGACGACATTTGCAGCGATGACGACTGCTTGGGCAGGTAATGGTTGAATACGAGACAGCAGTATCGTATCCAGAACCGTGCCTATCTATTTCTATGCCTGAATGGGTTATGATTCTGGATATATTCTCTATGTGTCTATTAACGTATGTTTGCCCCTGGCACGGTTCTGTATACATTAACTATACAGATCTTGTATTTCTTCCTTTCATCTGGATAAAGTATGCTTCTGAATGCAGAAAGCAATGATTGAATGTTGGCAAATGTTTGGAGTATCAGTAGAAAAACTGGATGGGAACTAAAGGACCGATGGGGGGGGGGGGCAAATCATTTGTTTATCAGGCATAAAGCTCCATTGATACGAGCACCATGACTGATTTCGTGTGTGACTCATATTGGTACCACAGTGTGTCTGCTACCGCACCTGTTACCATGGTGACAGACGTCTGGTCCAGGTCACTGACCTTTGATATGTGTTTGGAGAAAAGAAGATGAAGAAACAGAGCAAAACCTTCTGAGAAAGTAAACATAATGAGGGATTGTAATCGTTGTATTTTGATAGGAATCGTCAAAGCTGTGGCAAGAGACTTCTTCCAGAGCGAGGTGACCATGGACATCTTGAGTGAGGACAGAGAAGAGGAGAGGACGAGAAAGAAGGAGCACGTGGTGTTCTCGGTGACCCAGAGACGGCTGGGCGGGACGGCGACTCAGAAACCTCCCAAATACGTGGCGCAGTCACACAAGGGCAGCGAGCAGCAGATTAGGAAAGAGGTGAGGCGCTTCCATTTTTATTTTGTGACTTCTTGTCATTTTCGTTCTCTAACATTTCTTTTTAGTTCTCTTTCGTTCGCTAACATTGATTATTGTTCGTTCCCGTAGTGGCAGGGAATGTTGAGCTCCTATTGGACTAAGTTTCATAGTTATAAAGAATCCTGAGCTCCTATTGGACTGATTTTCATAGTGATAAAGGATCCTAAACTCCTGGTTGTCTAGATCTTGGGGTAGTACGACCGCAAGCTCTTTTATTGGGGTGGAGTGCCAGTTATCAGCCCCTGAAAGCTAGGGATTGTGTAGCACAGGCCAAAGTTCCTTTCCCGGCGCCCATCTCCGTTTCAATAGCCCTGGGACACACAGCAGTGCTATCACTACAACAGCCCACTGGTAGTGGTGTGTGTTCAACTCCCATTCTCATTCCCAAATGCTGAGTGCTAAGCAGAGAAAGCAGTATTTACCATTTTTTTAAAGTCTTTGGAATAACTCGGCCAGGGATCGAACTCACGACTTACCGAATGCAAGGTGAGCACTCTGACCACTTGGCCATTGCACCGGTGTAACATAGGCCACCCTTCCCTCCTACCTTTAGGATGTTGAGAACGTCCTGTCCAAGCTCGCCCAGCAGAACGGGGTGTGTCCGTTCCCGGGAAACGGCACCACGCCGAAGGTCAAGGCCAAGCGGTGCTGGGACAAGCTCAGGGGTATCGTCACCATGGGGAAACTCACCAGCGTGTTCCAGCCCATCTACCCGGACGACTTGTGGATGGACCCGCGGACCTTCTGTAACATCCTGCCCTTCCACATCATCTTCGACCAGCAGGTCAGTAACTTCAGCACACAACATTTGCATCATTATTTCTTACGCTTGGCGTTTGAAACAGCGCATAAACTAGCCTAAGGACAAGTAGCTATATTTATCCGAACCTCCGTTATATCAACCCAAAAGTAGCACCACCCAAAAACAATACTTCCGTTCCGTTCAATACAGCTGCAGATCAAACAATCAGGAATCAACATCCAGCGGATCGTACCAGGCATCCAGACCATCAACATCAAGGTTAACGACTATTTCGAGCTCATCCATCCCGAGATTCCCCTCAGCTTCGAGCAGATTAAGAAGTTCATCAACAGTCAGTTTATCCTGGAGGCCAAACGTCTGATGATGCCCGCCGCCTGGGGAGGACGGCCGACGTTACAGCTCAGGGGTAAGGAAATTTTGCTTTCTCTCAGCATACAGTGCATGATCTACATGTGTTCACCTGATCTCTCATGTGTTCCCTCGGGCTATATGTGTTCACCTGATCTCTCATGTGTTCCCTCAGGCCAGATGTGTTCACCATGATCTCTCATGTTTTCCTTCAGGCCAGATGTGTTCATCATGATCTCTCATGTGTTCCCTCAGGTCAGATGTGTTCACCTAATCTCTCTCGTGTTCCCTCGGGCGAGATGTGCTCACCATGATCTCTCATGTGTTCCCCCAGGCCAGATGGTCTGGATGCCTAGCATACAGTGCATGGTCTACATGTGCCCAGCTGATCTCTCATGTGTTCCCTCAGGCCAGATGTGTTCACCTAATCTCTGATGTGTTCCCTCAGCCCAGATGTGTTCACCTGATCTCTCATGTGTTCCGTCAGGCCAGATGATCTGGATGCCCGGCATACAGTGTATGATCTACATGTGTCCCCATGATCTCTCATGTGTTCCCTCAGGCCAGATGATCTGGATGCCCGGCATACAGTGCATGATCTACATGTGTTCACCTGATCTATCATGTGTTCCCTCAGGCCAGATGATCTGGATGCCCGGTATACAGTGTATGATCTACATGTGTTCCCCCAAGCTGACCAGCCTGAAAGAGCTGGAGGAGAGGAACATGTACATGTCTGAGATCGCGCTCCATGACGTCACGCGAGATCTCATCCTGCTGAACCAGCAGCGTCTGGCTGAGATCGAGCTGGCAAAACAGGTGAGATCAAACATGGGGACTTTCTGAGACCCCTTTTCCACTAGGATAAAACTGCCCGGATCGAGCCGAATAGATTGGCAACCGCGGTCAACTTTTGGGAGCGTTGCTGATCCGGCTCAATCCGGCGAAGCAACCACACTCACGCCACATGCGGTAGCTAAATGGACACTCCTCTGGTCAATGGATACTGCCTTGCCACCGTATGATCTGCTTAGAGATTAACCCAACCAGCTATTCCCGTATTGGCCCACGGCCAGCTTTCGTAACCCATTCTCCAAGCAGATCGTTGTATGATGGCTGCAAAGACAGAATCAAATTGGCCAGGCAGTATGTATCCATTTGCCAGACTGTTACCACGTCGGTCCATCCATTCTATCCATCCTGACCAAACCACAGCTAGCGGTCAACCAATCAGCAGAGGCCCCGCCCAGAGCACGACGGAAATACAGCAGCTCATTGCGTAATGCAATCATCAAAAGGATATAAATTATAACATGTGCGGACCAAGTCTTTTTGGTAGGGAAACAACTGAGCGAACGTACTTAAGTTTAAAAAGCTGGCATTCAGACTAATATGTGATTTAGGCTGAGCTGTGTGGCGTTTAAGCTGTATATTACACTGGATAAAAAAAGTGGTAGACACGAGTCTGAAAATTACACTGAATAAAAAAGTGGTAGATATGAGTCTAAAATTATAATGTCAGAAGTGGGATTCGAACCCACGCCCCCATTCGGGGACCAGAATCCTCGATTTATGCATCAGGAAGGGACTTCCACCCTTGAGTCTGGCGCCTTAGACCACTCGGCCATCCTGACATCTGCTGGCAGCTGTGGTTGTAACAGCTGCAACATCCGTGCACGTAACGGTCACGAAAACCCGACCTCCAAGTCTGAGGCACTGGTCAAATCACTCCAATATTGTTTGTATACGAAGTTATGAAATAGGTTCCCTATATGCTAGAACCAAAAGACTAAATCTTGCATTGCGCATTTAGACTTTATAACAACTTACATTGTGGGTCATGAACTACGGGTTTCATTATTCTCGCAGAAGTGTCCGCAACATTGTGTCATCTCGCAATCTCTGTGTCATTGTCTTTGTATTTGTTTTGAAAAATTGTGACAGAATTGTACCCCATTCAGGGAGTATGAACATACGCTCTCGCTGCCTTTGTACATTTTGATTCTTAAGCTTGAGCAATAAAGTTTGAAGTTTGTGACTTTTAAAAATGTAACCGTAAGTTAACGCTACATTGTCCTTTTTTTTATAATGTTGACAAAAATGTCTAAGATCTCCAATTTCTTTTTACCCTCTTCTCCACAGTTAGAGGAGAAGAAAGAGGAGTTGCGGATGATGTCTGAGGCTCTGCAGGAGGAACAGAAGCGCACGGACATGCTGCTGTACTCCATGTTACCCCGCCAGGTCGCCAACAAGCTGAGGGAGGGGCGGAAAGTAGAAGCAGGTACTACACACACCCCTACAGAGACATGCAATAGTTCGGTAGATCCCAGAGGAGGGATTGCTACCGTCCCACAATCCTTTGCGTTCATATTAGTATACGATTAGCACACATTACCATTTTTCATGAAAACCATGGGGGAAAGGAAGATGGCGATCTTGCGGGTGTTTTAGAGGTAGATCCATAGTCTGAAGACCTTCCTCTATGGGCTGGCTTTATAGGAGAGTTTTGCCGGCCTCAGTCATCAGTCACAGGCTTTTCCTTCTGGCAGCCTATCTATCCAGCCGGCCTCAGCTATCTGACAACCTGTCTATCTTTCTTACAACCTACCTTTGCATCTTGTCTTTGTTTCTGACAGCCTATATTTCCAGCTTGCCTTTCCTAGCCTTCTGACTGCCTATCTTGACTATCTTTCCAGTTGGTCGTTCTGACTACTGCCGCCCCGTAGTAATTGAAGCCTGGCAGTAATGGACCTGGGCGGGCAGGCAACACTCCCAGCACCGTAAACATACCGGCGATCAGAGCCTGCGATTGTCTGGCCTTCCAGGCTGATAGATCCAGTACACCAAATCGCTTTTGTTTAGGATTCCTTCCTCACTCAAACCGTTCCCCGAGGACAGAGATGGTAAAACAACCGATACGGAAAATACATGTTTCCTTTCCGGTAAAGGTGACCCCTGGTACATTCATTAATATCGGATGCAAAGTTTGGCAGCTTTACAACAATGTTCTGTCCAATTACATGGTGCAGTGGTTAGGAGATTAGTGTGATGATATCCCCGGTTTGTCATTTGTATACCTGACGACCCACCACACACACACAGTCGCTGGTCTGACATTGGGAAAGCTATCAAATTTGAACCTTCCGTAAGTGAAGGTTACCTTGTGTGTGATTCATTTTCCCCGCCCACAGGACAATAGCCTCGATACTAGACCCTACTGGAAACAATGCCATTGACAATGCAACACGGACGATACTCTCTTCGGCCACACGTTCCGATCCCATAGCCTGGGTGCCAGACTGTTCCACGGTCAGTAGCCTAGATGCCAGACTGTTCCACGGTCACTAGGCACAGGCCAACTTCTCGGCTCCAGAGACAACATGCCCCTGATCCCCAGGCACGCTGGATAACTCTGGACCTAGCGTGTTATGCGTCTGACATCCAGGCTAGCCTAGAGTTGGCACCCGGAGTCCAATTTATCTCTCTCGCTCAGGGTCTAACTTAGAGGTTCTGGGGCAAAATTTTCTTTGGCTTGGGGACATGTAAGCCCTATAGCCACGGAGCAACCCAGGCTAACATGACAATCGTCGGTGATTTTAGAGATTCTCTGGGATATCATTAAAAGGGTTTTGGTACCTGGGTCCAAAACCTCCACCTAGCGGCCCGTAAGTAGAATGTCAGTACAACCACTAGAACTTGCATAGAGCACACGCCGTACATCTCCTGATGACCACGCCCCCTTGCGTTTGATTGACAGGTGAGTATGACGAGGTGACGATCCTGTTCAGTGACATCGTGACGTTCACGAACATCTGTGCGATGTGCAAGCCCATCCAGATTGTCCAGCTGCTGAATGAGATGTACCTCAGGTTCGACAGGCTCACCACAGTCCACGATGTTTATAAGGTACGGGAGTATTGTTTTGGGTGGCTGAGTTTATGGGTTTGCCTTTTTGTCTGTCCAGGGACGTAATATAGGATTCGGTTGCATGGTGGGTGGGAGGTGATTTTGACAGATGATTGATAAGGAAGTCACCTGAAGATGGACCGTACCAGTACGCGCCTTTGGGAAGTGGTGTAATAACCGATTGAATTACATCATACAATCTCCTCCATAGTTCCAAAAAGCAATTCCCGGAGATCAGTGAACTTGATGGTTACGAAAACCCAAAATATTTCCCGGAAGTCGGAAACTTCCCACTGCTTGTTTTTGTTCATATCATTATATAAAACTCATTTTACACTAGCGAAATATTCGATGAAATTTATACATGTAGTAATTTCAGAAATCACTGATCAAAAATATTTCCTCAACGCAAACGACCTTGTCATGCTCAAAAACAGAAGATCGAAGAAAAGATTTGAGCTATACTTTGGGTTGCATACGATGGTCAACTGTTTTTTTTATTTGTGTACTTTGCTTCGTGGTTGCCTTCTTTTTTTTGTAAAAAAAAGAAGGTATTTTTGAACCTATTTAGTCAAATACTCCTGTCGTAATGGCTTTGGTTGCATGCATATGGTGGATGGGAGGTGATTTTGACAGTTGAGTGACACGGTGATACGGTTGCAGGTTGAGACGATAGGAGACGCCTACATGGTTGTGGGTGGACTGCCTGTTCCGGTGAAGTCTCACGCGGAGAGAGTGGCTAACATGGGGCTGGGGATGCAGATGGCAGCCGGGCACGTCAAGTCACCTGTCACCGGCAAGCCTATCCAGGTACTCCGTACAACAATGATGGGGCGTCTTACCTTAGACCTTAGATCCTCCCGCAACCTTGTTGCATAGGTCGACCTGATGGGGCGTACTGTAGCATTTTACGCATAGTTGTTAGATTTTTAAAAACTGTACTGACACCAAAACTACTAGTACTAGTACCTATTGTTAACGCTGTGACCGAGACTTTTCTAAAAAGATGAACATGAAACTTTTTAAACTCTGAAATATAAATAGTAGGAAAGGGGACAACTATTCATTGAGGAACTCTGCTCAAAAGTGCCGTACATGAGTATGAACTACAGTTCATGCCTCGTATTAGCAAATTTACTATATGTAATCAATATGCAAATCATCATGTAAGCTCAAATACATTCCACAATTAAGACAATCCGTTCACAGGCCTCTAGTTATCACTTTCCAGACGCTCAAACAAATAAGATTGACTTACATCATACTACAAAAAATCCCCATGTAGCTACATAGGCACCGAACACTTTCCGGACGTCTGTGAAATTGAAGGTTACCGAAATTAATCCAAAATACTCCCAGCAAGTCTGAAATCTCCGGTTTCTTACTTTTCTTTTGTTTCCTTGTTTGAATTCCCAGATCCGCGTAGGTATCCACACGGGCCCCGTGGTGGCGGGAGTGGTGGGGGAGAAAATGCCGAGGTACTGTCTGTTCGGCGACACCGTCAACACCGCGTCACGGATGGAGAGTCATGGAGTACCGGGAAAAGTCCACATCAGTCCCGCTACATACAAGTCAGTTCAACTTTCTTTAAATGACACAATTTCTAATGTAAAGGACAGTCCTGGTGCAGATAGAATAATGCATGTACGTTCACTGCAAATACGATGATGAAATAGCATGAAAGTTGGTAAATTACATGTGGAAAAGTTAATATTAATCTATTCTCTGCAACTCAATAAGAATTGTCTCACCGTCGGTGACACAAGATTGTCCCATTGAAGCACTCATCCGCCCTACCATGGTTGAAAGTGACCGTTTATAATACATCATTGTGAGTCTGGAACAACTTAATTGGCATCTACCACAAGGAAACTACCATTGAGGCTGTACTGTACTTGATGAAATGTTATGCTAAGGGGACCTGCCTAAATCATTATTGAAAGGTTACTCCGTGCGTACAACTCATAAAACATAGCTTCCAAATGAGGGTTCATCTGTTACGGTAAACGACATTGTAAAGCTTTACACGCTAACACCGTACAAAAGGGGAAATTGCTTAAAGCCCCGAAGCCGAGACGGGGGCCGATACCGATTGCCTGGCACCTTTGACCCGTTGCTGACGTCACATTCCCACGAGACCTCGGGTCATTTCAACTTGAAAAAGAGTAGAGTGATCGTCAAAAACTTGTCGGTAATCATAATATGTATCCGTGTGTACGGTGCTAGCTTTTTAAGCATTTATGATGTTCGCTCCCGATTCTTAGAGCTCTACGTGGGAAAAGCTTCATCATCAAAGAGCGCGGTGAGATCAGTGTGAAGGGGAAAGGCCCGATGTACACGTACTACGTGGTGGCTAACGGCGAGGCCACGGAGGACATGCTGATGGGCCGGCCTCCGCGGAGCAGGCGGTCCTCCCGCAGTATCACGCCGTCTCCGGCCAAGACAGGCGGGGCGGAGGAGGAGAAGGGCGGGCAGAACCTCAAGTCACCGGCATCCGGGAAAGTCAAAGGTGAAGAACAAAGTCTTGTTTTTATCATCATGAGTCAATATAACTTTTGATGCAACACGAAGAATAATCATGATCTTTCCACATTCGGCCTTTCTCGGATTTGTGCCCCACTCAGCTCTGCAGTGCAATGCGTCAACGTTAATTAACCTACAGTACATGTGTATTTCGAATTCAAAAGAGAGCGGGCCAGACATCCGAGGAAAACTGACGTCCTTACGATGTGTGATTACTTCCGCGTAAGGAAGTACTGTTTTGGGTGGATGGTTTGTAAGTTTATGTGTCTGTTTGTCTGTAGCCACAGTTTCGTGGAAGGTGTGAGGCGATTTTTTTAGGAATTCAGGAACTCAAAATACTTCACGGACGTTTAAAAAATTGTTTCTAGATCTGTTACAACTCTCCCTCATAACGTTTTTGTCCCCTACAGGTGACGAACCAGATTCAGACATGGTGGTGATGGTGTATGAAGACAGTCATGAAGTGTCCGGACAACAGGTCAATCCGCCTGGCAGTACAAACACGTGCAACGGTACAGTCACGCAGATTAACATTACATGGCCTTCGTTGTTATCTTCACTTCCGAGTAGAGCAGTATCATTTTGGGTTCCTGATCTGTGGATTATTTGTTTTTAATTGCCCGGACAGAGTAGGTTGATAGCATGAGGGTGGGAGGATTGTCGGGCAGAATGACCGCTGTCAAAAGGTCTGACATAGGAAATAAGGTCATGTTAAGAGAATGTTAACAACACCTGTGTGGGGAAGATTGACAGGCAGAATGAATGGAGGTAAAAAGGTCAGACACAGGAAGTTGTGTGAACTTGAAGGTCAAGAAAACCCAGTGTACAAGGTGCAGATACGAAGACATTTTTAATGTTGATGATATTCTGGTAGTAACTTTTCACATTTTTCTCCGTTTGCAGGTGTAAACAAAGGAAAGAAACAGAAGGAAGCTGACGGTACCCCCAAACGGCGAACCCTGTCCTCGGAGGACGATCCCGTGAACCTCCCGGCGGACCCCAGACCACCGAAAGCCAAACCTAAGAGCAAACTGAAGAAAGAGAAGACAGAGTCAAAGTTGTGCGTCATTTTGTAACGACAAGGTCATATTCGTCGTAGGTTGTCGTACGGTTTTTGATGCCGTAGCGAATTTTCAGGCAAGCTATGACAAAATAAACAGACGACAAGGATCTAAGACAACATTTTTTCGTAACAAGACAGCAGCATTTTGCAGGACACATGCAGGACTGTCTAAAGACTGCTCTCAGTATGCGATCGTGCGACGGTGGTACGACATATGTACATATGTGACCGAGCCCTAGCAGAACAGCAACACGAACTATGGAAAATTTACCTACAGATTTGATGCCAGGTTTTCAACCAGACCTCAGATCGTCTTCTGGAAAACTGAGCGCTGAGTACCCGATTAGCCAGAACACATAACCTCCCGAGTGGATGATGACGCAAGGAAAGGGTCAAAGGTGCTTGGAAGTCGATATCGGCCCCGTCCAGGTTCTACTAGAACTCCGCTCACGATATAAGTTTACTCCCCAAAATTTTAACCATAACTAAACGCGTTTCCAATAAGCGTATATTAACGTTATTTCGATTGAAACAGATTATATCATTCTACTGTTTCTACGAGTAAGCATTTACGGCATATCAAGAACATCGTGCATTTTGAATGGATTCCGCATGGAGTCCTGTCGCACAACTTGTTCATTAACACATACCAACCCATGCGCCTTTTGTGTAATATTTGTAAGATGTGAGACCTAGATTGAGATACCTGTTTAAATATGATTGTATAAAGTTGCTATTGACATATACAATGTATTTGACATAACGAGAATAAGGTAACTGCAATGGAAAACAGGTGGGCCAACGGCTAGTCCATAACTTATATGTCTGCCATTGAAAGTATACTTGTATGTCTTGTGTTTGAGATACTATTTAACATTGTATATTGCAACACTTTTATGTTGTGTTACTGAGAACATATATGTAAATTCTCAACTGAATTACGTGTTAATTTCATTTGCAAGAATCGTGTGATCAGCTGAATAGGTTACAAATTATCAGGAAAACGGGAAGTTAAAACGATTAAACTTTTCTTCCATTATACACATGTATATATTTTCTAAAGAAGCTTGGTATAGTCATGGAGTTTCTATCTCCATGGTATAGTACAGTACTGTATTGTATAAGAATTTTCTTTTGTTATCTATATGTGTGGATTGGATTTTGTCTGCGTGTTGACAAGACTGCACATAGAATTGTACATTTTATCTCTTCATCTCTTGCTATGTTTTCATGTCTAAATCATGTTGTATCATTGTTCAGTGAGAAAACAACGTCAATATGAGAGTTCCATTTTATATTATGATATTTTCTTGCACTGATGTTGATAATTTACTTTTAAAAGATTGTAGATTAATATATTACCTGTCATTTTATTTCTTTTGTATATTTCGTTTTCATTCCTGTCAGTGTATGTCTTTGTCTGTTTTTTTGGCTATGGATATATATGCGTTCACTGATAAGATGGCCAGTATTGAATAGCTATAGAAATAAATAAATGTACAATCTATTGTGCCAGCATATCGCTCTTTAATTCTGCAGCACAATATTAATGTTCTGATTTTATCCAGGATGTCTTTGGTTGATGTAAAATAATCTATTATCTGATTGCATGTGTATCATATTTTATATTAGCCCATTATTTTACTGGGATCAAATAATCTGTAGACAACAACAAGTCAACAGCAGATTTTTGTAAAAAAGATAACTCGATATGAGATGGCAAGTGCACGGAAAAAATTAAACTGAAAAAAAAACTTTCAGTGTTGATGGCATATCTACTAGTATGTATCAGTTGTTGTCTTCAATTTTCAGTCTGGTTTTCGGTGTTCCACTTTCTTTCATGAGTTCTGATATTTTTCGAGGGCGGTAACCAAAAGAGACGCCTCATGTAGCTTGTTTTTCGATTATTTCAAACGCTTGAAGTACGAACTATTGACGAAAATATGCTAAGAACAGACAGTAAACGTCAATATCCAGATTTTTCCCGTTTTGCCGCCCTGAAATTGCATTGAACGCCCTTAACCTTCTTCTCCGGACCAAATTCAATGCCAACGACACCCCCACAATCAGGATGGTATAGCCCACAGCACTAGCGAGTGACGTCATCAACGTCAGAGGGCGGAGGAGTCAATCCCAGCATCCTCTCCCCACCAAAAATGGCGTCTAAAGCAGGAGAAGACGACAAGGAATCTCAGGGATTTTTTGCAAATTTGGCTCAACAGCTCCGAGATTTCAAGGTCTTTCTTTGGGATCCTACTAGGAGAACTGTCTTGGGAAGAAATGCGAAGAGTTGGGGTGAGTGGTTTCCTTGAATTATCTCGAAAAATGGTGTCGAAAGGGGCACATGTTCGCTGTCGATAGCTAGGTTCGAATCGTCTTTTGGCACGCCATGCAGCAGCCGTCCGATCAAGCCGGTATTTTTCCACGCGATAGTTTCCGTTTCTCCAGCCTTTGCGGGCCATACGGAAATATCATTTGGACAGAAAGGGTTTTATGTTTCATATAAGGACCACTACAGGCTGCCCTAGTCCACTTTTGGCCCGAAAAATGACGTTAAACATAGTGCTGCTCAAGGTCATTTTTGCCGGGTCACGTGTTGTACCATGTTCGAGTGGTGCAAAACGCTAAATACTCACCGATTTTACCTCAGAATTTTCAAAAATGATCAATGAATCGCGTTTATTGGAGTGTAGACATTGATTTAAAGGGTGATATGAAATTGTAAGAGTTATTCGGGCGTGTTATTCGGCGTTTTTACTGAGCCACCGCCGGGGCGCGTTAGCACCGACCAAGCGTAGCAAATGGGGCTGGGCTTGTTTCCTCACGAATCGCATGACCTTCCCGTCATGGAACGATTTCCGCGGTACAGGCAGCTCGGATGAACGGGAAAACGTCCCCAGGGAGGGTTTTCCTGTAATACCCGTTGGACCACGCGCACAGGAAGCAGTACATGTACAAAACTGGAGAGAAAAGAGAAGGAACATCGCTTTGTAACGCCTGTAGTAGTTCCGCACCGTTTAACATGTAAGCTAGAGGGGGGAGTGGCCAACGCATCTGTACACTACAACCGATAGATATGGGAATGTTTTGTCGATACCAGACTTTTTGTCTGATAAAATAATGTGTTGATTTGTAACAGACTTACTGGTTACTTTCTGCTAAATTCTACTGGGTAGCTATACACACAAACTTACAAATATTTCTTTGTATTTAGCAGTAGTCTCAACAATTAATTTGTCATACTAATTCTCAAGGTAAAAATTATGAAAATAGAATGTAAAATGAGATTGCGAATATTACCCAGTAATTCAAATTAATGAGGAAATAATGAAAGTGGTAAGATATTTGATATTTGAAACAATTTAAAACCAGCTAAATTTAAGAACAATACAAAAATGTATATATACACCGTATTACATGAGCTCACAATAACAATTGTTATCTTTTCACACTATTATAGTTTTATGAATCCAGAGTCCTTTTGCTATTCTTTCTTTCTTTCAGATAGTACTGCTAGGTTTTAAGTCACGCAAACTTTATTTTGTATATGAATACACCAAATTCCGCAAGTTCTTGCAGACAACAAAATTCCTGGGAGACAACAACCTTTACAGCATTAATGTGTTGCTATATACTTGACACTGCTACTCTCTTGGCTTCATTCCATTGCAGGAGTTATTTCAACCCATTTGCTGGTGGTTATCCAAGTAGTAACAAGTGCACGATTGGCAATTATATATTGTTTGGAATAGAGAGGCAGTGACTCTGCATTTATTCAAATGATTTTAAGGGAGGGGTAAATGTACACTGCATGTGTATATAATTAGCATATCATTAGCATAACAAAGGTTTGAAATATACAATACAAGATAACAAGTTCACTGAATTTGCAGACAACTGTTCTATTCTTTCATTCCCCTTCCTGACCCCACTGTCTTTGGCATGTTCCATCTCAGCCCTGATAAATGGGGCAATTAAAAGCAGCGTGTCTGACCCTCTCCGTCATTGGCCCTCTGTGTGCTAAAACACAAATCCGTTTTCCATTTAGAACCTAGCAACTGGAACACTGAGACTGTGAGAGCAGGGTATTTGTCTGTGACGTATATATGAGGATCTATATTGTTGGTTGGAAACCAGTACCACTTGCTCCCTTTACTGATAAACTCTTTTATAACCTCTCTAAAGGTATTTTACTGTGAACGTGTTTACTTTTGTGGTCGTTTTATCTGACAGCACATGGGGGGAAAGGTTTTCCATGAGAGTTCAATGTTGAAACAGTTCTGTGATATGATAGAAACACATAACACATAAATTCTCTGCGTCACGGTTTTGCATCAAGAGGACCACAAAAAATATACCCCCTCCCCGCAATAGTAACAACATCTACAGTATGCAACACTGTAGTAAATTCATTCTTATTCCATACACCCCATACCCATGTGGGAACACGAGAAAGCAATTTCAAGATATCTATAGCTGTTTTAGCGAAGGAAATTGAAAAACTTAAAACGGCTTCTTGACGCACTCTTGAAGGGTATCTGATCTTCACCGAAGTGATATCTTGTCCCCCGATGCAGACTGGATCTGTTGAACGGATGTAATGATGGATGCTGTATATTTCCTGATAGTCCTTTTAAGGTGCCAGGCAGAGTATGCCTGTAGTCCCTGCTAACGCCCTGATGGATATTACAGCCCTAATGTAGAGCTAAGAGGGGGTTAGTTCATTTAATGAGTTGGGAGAAAGTGGTAAGGTCCAACTTTTCCATATGTTGACAACTAGTACCTGTGCCTTATAAATGTTGCATCAGTGAGACTAGGTGTGTTATTATCTGAATCGTTGTGTTGATGTCTCCGAAAATCTACAACCAGTACAATATTTCAACATGCTGAAGATGTCTGCTAGTTTCATTTAGAGAGAATATCTGCAACCAGGCTGCAAGAAAGATACAGTTTAGTGTACTTTAGATTTATCGATTTTTTAAAACAAGAAGTCATGGTATATATCAGAGACAATGTGACTATGCATGTACACGTACAGGTGTAAGATACAAACACAGACAGACCAATTTTTAAAGATTTGTTACCAGCTTTGCATGGGAATGCCTTAAGGTAAAAAGCAGAATCTAACAGCTTATGAATTACTGAACTGCTGTTATTATGCAACAAGGTAGCTTTGTAGATGTTGTTGTGATCACTTGGATATGATGTGAAGAAATTGATTAATGGAATGTGCCATTGAGGTATCAGTCTTGCCTGCTAAGTTCATATTCATTTAGGGTGGCCTCAATGCATACAATTGAGCAGCCAAGGGAAGAAGCCCGTGTAATGACCACAGGCATTATGTTATCGAGGGGTGACCTTGTCAGAGCACTGCGCCTGAATCGTATCCCATGGGAAATTGGGGCCACACCGTATCCCCAGGACCAGTATTTCCACACTGGTGACAGGGCCTAGGAAAGTAATGTTGTGTTTCTGATTCCTGTGTTGAAAACTGAGTCGGTAGGTAGGTAGGGATTCTCATCTTTTTACTTTAGATTTTGGCTGGAGTAGACAAGTAGATCAAATGTAGTTTAACTATGTAAAACTGAAATACATAATGACCAGGGCTGTCTCCAGGACCTATCAATTCAACCCATTTGCCTGTGGGGACAAATTTTTCACCCAATTTACTTGATGAAAATTGGCTTCTACGAATTCATGAACTAACATTTCAGAAGGTTTGACATTCAGAAAATTTCATGGTATTGCCCCATTTTTTGCCAGCGGTTGACCCTTAAAAAAGGGCCAAGGCCGTCGTTTGTCTAGGGTCGGCCAAGAAACCGGAAAGACAATCTTTTATCCTAGGCCTTACACCACGTTTATGAACACAAGACAGTGGTTGACCGTGAGACACTCCTCTCCACAATTCATGATTATTTTTCAAATCTAAAATGAATATTAATGAGAAGTCACACTCTGCTGCTTTCTGGTAATTTGTTTTAGTTATCTTTTATTGTATACACAAACATTATTTATGGCAAGCACTAAACAGACTTGTAGATTTTATTGCACATACATGTGTACACTCTACTACACATGTTCGGTTGCCAGTCTACAAGCTAGCATACATTGTGAGTAGTTACTCGGCTACCCCAAATCATATAAACTGTCTGCTCAGCTTTGTCTAATCCCTCGTAACCCATACTAGGCCGGTGGGCTAAATTTTTATTATTTAGCCTACATTGTACCTCATTTAGCTAAGCCTGTATATGTACAAGGTGCTGAGAATGTATAAGAATGTTCAAGAGTATTCCAGAAAATTCAAATTCAAATTCTACAAAGCAAAAAATCAAAATGGTGAGCGGTGAGGACAATGAATATTGTAAATCGTGAAACTTTTGTGGTGAATTTGTCATTTCATGGTGACCTCTCCACAGGAAACATGACACTGCTTGTATTTCTTCAAATTCTTCTTTGACTACTGTACTACAGAATTAATCAAACTGCAAAATTAAAACACTGAAAACCTCCCAATCAGCAAAATAAAACTCCAGAGAATGTTTCATGATTTACAATATGTAACTTATCCTGGTCTGCACATGTAATATAACCTGCCCCTTATTCAGGTACTGTTTGCTGGAAAAAAAAGAAAGGGGTGTGGCATGTGCAAACAATACTGGGAAAAGTTTACATGACTTGTACTGGCTTAAAAGATGCCATGTCACACGTCCAAATAGAAGGGCTATTGCTGTACACAGAGAAAGACACTTGTGTCAACAAATATGTAAAGATTAACACAAGTTCTCATTGTAACAGATGCAGCCTTACAATACATTCTACACACAGTCACAATCCTGTAATACGTGTCATATACAGCATGAACGTTAAGAGTTGAATTTTGTGGAGGCCCAGGGTAGGAAGTAGCCATCTGCATAGATGATTATGATTATATGAGAAATAAGTTTATAGACTTTGGATTCTGTATTGATTTTTGACACCTCTATAATTTGCTTTTACCTTCCATTTGGGAGCTGGCGTGACATTGGCTTGCTGGCTACCTGCCATATTTTTAGGAGCTCCACAAAGACACATATGCTGTACTAAATTTGCCATTGTTTCTACCCTCTTGTACTGTTAAATGTTAACCCGTTTTTACCTTGACATTTTTGTTTCACAATGTTCCATAATTTTTTTTTGGGGGGGGGGGCATGTTGGCCCTGGAGCCAAGGAACTAGGCTGTGTGGGCCCTGGAAACAACCTGGTTAAACAACTTGTAATTTTTAAAACCAAGAGTAAGGAAGAAGTCATCCAATATG